CGAAAAGAATAGTGCTTTCTTGTTCTCCTGCCCGTTGCTCTCTGCAGATAGAAAGAGAAGCAGCTGAGCAGGTGGAAAAGCTCAAGTAACATCGGGTCGTGGAAAATCTGAGGAAGAGATCAACCGGCAGACAGGAATAGACAGTGGCAGTCTGCGTGCACTAGCGAGGACCGTTGTGTCTAAAGCACAGCTGAGTCTGAACACTAAATTCCTGGTGTACAAGTCGATCTTCATCCCGTACTTGCCTACAGTCATGAGTTTTTAGTTATGACTGAAAAACTTCGATCCGAGGTTCAAGCAGCGGAAATGGGCTCTCTGAAATGAGTCGCTGGTTCTCGATATGCTCCGGAGAAACGAAAACTGCAAGAACCTTGGTATATGGCCGCTGTTTCTCCAGACTCGCAAGTCACAGCTAAGATGGTTGTTTGGGCAGGTCTTGAGAATGCTTCCAGAATCAGCCAGTAGTTTCCTAACCGTCCGTCCGGCTGAATACCCAGAGGACGGCCAAGAATGAATTGGAACAAATATCTCGGCAAACTCTGCACCAGACTCGGATTATCATGTGCTGAAACTCAAAAACTGGCACAGGATCAGGGAACAGACAAAAATAGAAGAGAGTCTACTTGCGCTCCTGGCGCACCCACATCAATGAGAAGTCTGATAACGGATACGGATGTATGCACTGTTTAACAGTTGATTTTTATTCAATGGCCAGTTTAGTTTCTCTTTTAAACTTCGAATTAAGCAAATTTTCCTGCAAAAAAGTAACAAATTCATTACTGTTATTTGGTAATAAGATAATCACACAGTCGATTACTCATAATTTATAACTATAATCTTTAGGTAAGTCACAAACGGAAAGACAACGCATAAAATGTTCTTTAATTAGGGACATCTGAATGTACTCTGAAGACGGACCGAGATTGGTCCGAAACGCCAGATGTCCCTAATTAAAGAACATTTTATGCGTTTTCTTCTCGTTTGTGACTTATCTAAAGATTATATCACCTCTCGCATAGAGAAATCATGTACGATTTTCCATTTATAACTATGAAAAATTTCAAACATTTAATATTAATTCATCCAGACTTAGTGAATTTTTAAGTGCGTTCAATATGTCGAAGATCACATATATTCGGTTCCCAAGGGGAAGTAAAGTGAATAAAGCTATACATGGAAGCATTATTCAATAGCAGTAGCAACCTCAAGTAAGGTGAGTAAGATGAGTTCATTTGATAACTTCTTCTTGTGCCATTACGTCGAAAATGAAGTTGGGTAACGTAGAAACATTCCATTTGGATCGAATTAACACATTATCACTCTTTAGTCCTTTCGCTGCCATGTCAGTTCAAACGAAATCTTACTATGTTGTTGAAAGT